CGGTCAGAAAAAAAAAAAAAAGGGGGGGGGGGGAATCAGTAAGGACAGTAGAGTTTAAAGAGATATGTTTTGAGTGCAGTTTTTAAGGTTGTGACGGTCGGTATATTGCGAATGTGTAGTGGAAGAGAGTTCCATTGTTTGGGGCGCAGAAAGAGAACGATCGTTCACCGTATGTTTCTGTGCGAGTCTTGGGGACAGAAAGAATACGCGCATCTGCGGAGGAGCGAAGCTGTCCAAGGGGTGAATAGACAGAGAGAACTACTTTACTCTGCCATCGTTCAAATATTGATCTATCAATCGGCCATGCATTCATCTACATAGCCAACTTACACCCTCATAGAAGTTCAAAGTTGACTCATCTGTATATAAATACATAGTCTTAAGCTATATGAAAGTAATATTGTGGCCATATATCTATAGGACTTATGGTGCCACTTGCTTACAAACAAGTATACAGTGGTATGCCGGTATAAAAAAAACAAACACTTTTTAAAGGATCATTCTTATGATGCCATTCAAATGTGGCTAGGTGGTGTTATACTCATTGGCATTCAAAACACAGCATCTCCCGATATGTTGGCCTTGTTACAAGCCCACAGTCAACTATTAATTATTATAGACTATCACATTGGCAGACCAAGTTGTCAAGAGCCCAACGCCGGTATTATATTAAACTAAAAAGTATAATAGTTAGTCCATTTGTAAGAAAAGGATTCAGTAGAGACGTGGGTGCTCCAACCACTATTAAACTAGTTTAGGCATTTTGCCAGTAAATTTAACACGCATGGCCACTTTCAGATACCGTAGGTAATTGCTACCCGGTATCAACGAGTTATACATTCAGATGTTGAAAGATTAACTTCATGTTTATGAGGGTGCGTTTTGAGAAATAAAAAACTTAAATATGGAAAACTATGTTTTACCAACAATAAGACGAGTCTCAGATCTATTCTATGTACAGCCTGCTAAAAATAGATTTTTTTTAAATTTAAAAAGAGAGCAAAGTTATAAGAACTCCAGAAAAATAAACTTCGGACTATCTGGGGGTGCTTACAACTATGGCTTCAGACATGTCTTCACAGAATGCATCTCAAAAAATACAAGCATCAGCCTACATTAAAAAAAAACAAAAAAACAAACCTTTCCTATAATTCCTACAAGATTTAAGTTTAAATGAAAGATCATGACCTAAAAAAATAAGCCTTGGCAAAAATAGTAGCACATCAAGAAATAAGGGATAAATGCACATAAATGTCAATAAGTGGCATTCTAAATTAAATAATGTACCATGATGCAAAAAGTAACTTAGCCCACGGAGACAAAACAATACTTTTGTGCCAGGCTGCAATAACTGCAGTCCACTTAAGCAGACTTGAATTTAAAAATAAAAATTCAGTAGAAGTTGTAGTAGTATACAGTTTGAGAAGCTGGGACACTGTGTGAACTAAACTTTAAGCTGTAGAACTTCAATACAGCTTGAGAAGCTGGGATACATTGTGTGAACTATGAGAAGCTGGGATACATTGTGTGAACTATGAGAAGCTGGGACACATTGTGTGAACTATAAGATTAATGAGAAGCTGGGACACATTGTGTGAACTAAACGTTCAGCTTTTGAACTTCAATGCAGCTTGAGAAGCTGGGATGCATTGTGTGAACCTAACTTTAAGCTGTATAAATTTAATACAGCGTGAAAAGCTGGGACAAATTGTGTGAACCAAACTAAACTAAACGTTCAACCCGAGAAGCTGGGACACATTATGTGAATAACTGGAGACTCTTAGAAGTCACATGAATAAACTACCACTCAGATCTCACGAGGATAATATCAGCATTATTATAACAAGACCCCCCCCCCCTTTCCACGAAATTGTTCCAGAAAGTATGCTAATTCCTACACCCTTCCCAATCTTTCTCTTTAATTCAGTCTAACTCCAACCCAATGACTAGGAAGGATAGAGGAATCAGGCGTGGGAAATGGTTGACGCCGCAAACACTTTCCACCTCATGTGGTCGAATCCAACCCAGAAGTGAGCTCGCGCCCTCAGTACAGCAACTTCACATAAAAAAACGTGGCCTTATTCTCTAATTCGCAACTCACTCGTCCCAAGCGCCTAAAATGAAGGGTGTGAGAAGAAACCAGATGGGATCGCTGGTGTTTGTAGTGGCAGTGTTTTTTTTTTTTTTTGTTTTTTTTTTGGGGGGGGGNGCGTGAGGATTAGAAGTCTTAGTAGCTTGATACAGTGCCCACCAGGAAATAAGACCAGACAATTTATAAATCGTGTTGTTGTTTAAAAAAAAAAAAAACATATAAAAGCTAACACAATCTAAGCCTAAGCAGTTGTATAAAACATTTTCCTACTCATTAATCGAATTCTAGTGTACACAATTTAAAAATGTGAATTTTGTATTACCGGCACCGGGTTTTCAACAAAAAATATATATTATATAATATATATACATATAACACGGCAAAGCTGTAAAACAATTCGGTTTAATGTTACAATAAATTTTCATGTCAAAGTTAACCATCAGCCATCAGTGTTTCACTTCAAGATGGAATACTAAGTGGTAATTATAATCTAGTAATATGAATGGATAATACAAAGTTATAGTATTACTAGTATTTCATATGTCAACTGCAATGCTAGCAACTATGTGATCAGTCATTTCGATCACAGAAAATATTAATAACATTCAGTATAGATTATAACCAGTATAATGGAATATGGGAATTATCACTTTGGAAGAATGGTATCTAACACACATACGGGCTTTTATTTTTATGATTATTCAGTTAACAACTTAGATCTAGTACTAGTATGATTAAGCCATGCATTGTGAAACTGATACATAACTAAGTCTACTGAACTGGTTCCCTTTAGTTTTAGCCTTTAGAGCAATACATAAAAAAAAAAAAGAATCTCAAGGCAACAAGCTGCTTCACTGGTCATAGAGTTGAAAATTAAGTTTATCTCGGGAGCCCAGTATGGTTTTAGATTATTAGTGTGTTTTTTTTGGTTTTTTTTTTAAGTGTGTTGTTTTTCCAGATTCCAAGCACAAATTTGGTTAAATATTAAAAAAAAAAAAAAATAAATAAATAATTGGCTTAAAAAAAAAAAAAAAGAATCTCAAGGCAACAAACTGCTTCACTGGTCATAGAGTTGAAAATTAAGTTTATCTCGGGAGCCCAGTATGGTTTTAGATTATTAGTGTGGTTTTTTTTGTTTTTTTTTTTAAGTGTGTTGTTTTTCCAGATTCCAAGCACAAATTTGGTTAAATATTAAAAAAAAATAAAATAAATAAATAATTGGCTTCAACATTATCAACAGATACTTATTCTACTCGTACCTTTAAATTAGTGGTAAATATATAAAAAAATGTTTAATTAATTAAGACTTCTAAAATCACCGCATGAAAATCTAATTATAATTAACAACTATTTAACTTTAACCAAATTTTTTACCTGCATATCTTGATCATCCATGGAAACTGGTGAATTAATAATCACACAATCGATACTAAAAGAGTTATTTAAGAGTTTCACACTTTTTATTTCTCTAAACTAAAAAAGTTTTACATTTGCAAAACTGTTAGATTTATAAGTGTGAAATACTAAGATTGATGAAGTACTGAAAAACAAAATTATATATATATATATAGGCTATATATATAAAAGCAACTTTCTTCCGACTTTACTTAGATTGTATATTTAGATATCTTTACGTTACAGTTACGTTATGGCTGACATGTCATCAATTTCAGAAGTCGAATTCTTTGTATTTAAACAAAATTTAACTTCAACATTGCTGGCAAGATGATAATATAAAGCGAGTGTAAGTCGGGAAATCCAAAAATCTAAATTTCGAATGAGAACATACAAAGATTGGGAATGTCGTCTGGTCGAGCACACTCGTGGGAACTCGCAATTTGCATTTTTGACATCGTGAGAACAATGGGTCATGTGAGCTGTTCTATTACTTGCGTTGTCCACCCTTGGGAATGGAACACAAAGCAAGTAGCTAAAACAATGTACTTGATGGTAAACTTGAGAAATATGACAGTATTACACAAAGTAATATTTTTTGGACTAAAAAAACTAAACAAACGAAAGTAAAAACTACTAGAGACTATGTTCCAAAAAATAAAAATTAAGATAAATGTTTATCCGTGGGAGGTACTTGGATCAGCCCTTTTCCCATAGCGTTCTAAGCAGCTCATTGGTGATTTCCATATACGGCAAGCAGGTGTTCCCACGGCCCAACCGCTGTTAACACGAATGAGGCCGTGTTTTGATTTGAGTGGGTGCAGAAAAGTGGTCTTGCTACAAACTGAGTAAAGTCGGACAAGAGATGTCTAAAAGCACATATAAACAAAAAAGAATCATAAAAGTCCATGAAACATACATTATCAAAATCGATTTCAATAGTTTTACTATTCATTCATGATTCATAGTCTTATTGGGTACCAGTTCAGTACCAGATTCTGAGATTACTTTACTTAAACTTAGGTAGGGAAACTGAAGTGATGACATTGTAGGAACTGGTTTCTCTTACATGACTACACACATAGAATATTATACAATTAAATGTAGCCAAAGTCCAACATTGTTCTTAAAATATTAGACTCCAGTTTCGTCGATATTTGCAAATCGCATGTATATGTGGGCCTATTATTATTATTTCAAGAATCAGAGCGCATATATTCGCCGAGAATGTGGCCTACTTTTAAAAAAAATCTACTGCTCGGCCAGTTGGGCCGATTCTTTAGTTTTCCGCAGCCCTTTCTGTTATTATGCATGGACTAGATTACATGAGATTAGAAAACCTCTTCTTTAATCCTTGCTATATAATTTGAAAACAAACTAATAGGTTGCTTAAAGAAAGCGTACTTTTTTTGTGACTATAAAAACTTACCAACTAGAGAAGTCCTAAAAACTTAATCAAGATGGCGTTCTAAACAACTGCACATGCGCTTGTTTTGGTTTTGTAAGAACTTCCGTTTTAGGACAAACAGTTGTCAGTAAAAATTACATACGCACGAACGGAAGGTAACAGTAACAGATTTGTATCTTCTCTGTCTCCAGCTAATTAAAATAAAACTATGTTGAGATAAGAGATAAATTCTTCGTGGGGAATACAAGCTTAAATTTTAATAATCAGGCTAAAAATCAAATAGGCGTATTTAATTGATTTACTCAATCAATCTGTGTTCAATACATTAATTCAATACTCTTAGTCTTAATACTTAATAATAATACAACATTGAACATTGTACAACATCCAATAAAAAAAGGCCTATGCCTATTACTATGACTATGAATAGAATACACAAAGTAAATAATAACTTTCGCTTCATTCCAAACCCAAGATTTAAAATTAGTATTACTTAGAGTAGAGTATTAGTATTAGTATAAGAAACTATGAATATGAAAATTTACTAACATACAAAATTTGACAAAAAGATGAAGAATGAGTAGGCTAATCCTAGTCCTAGTATCCTAGACTTGGAGGTAGTAAAGTAGGCCTATACTTTACTATTGTCCATTGTCAATTGTGATTCTATGATGATTTTTTAAATAAAAATAAACTTTATTATTATTATAATTATAACTAACATTTTTCGAAGTGGATGCGTACACCGCGGCGGTGTATTTAGCGAAACCATCAGCTTTGGCCTGCGTAAACCGCGGCGGTGTACCCAGCGAAATCGTGGGCTTTTGCCTGGGTACACATCGGCAAAAAAGTACCATTGGCCTGGTTTTAAGATATGCTTGTTAGAGAAGATCTTGTGTGGTCAAGTGGTAGAGTGGACGCTAGGCGATATTATATCTTGTGATCGATTCCCAGTAGGGATCGAGTTTTTTCTTCCCATTTTAATTTAAAATATTGTTATATTTAAATTATCATGTTCATTTGCAACAGTAGTTTCATGAGAAGTTTTTAAATATTTTTTAGCAATTTAAACAATTTAAATATATGTTATATTCAGATTATTAAGTGTCTCAACAAGTTTTGCCGGCCTTTGACTTTGAAAATACGGGTAATTTTAGCAATAAGACATTAGAAAACAAACTGAAAGTTTCTGAAAGCGCATGTATAGTGTATGTAACATGTATAAGAGAAACATTTTGAATACTAAGTGATATTCTATTGTTTTTCAACATTCTTCGTATAGTTGAATAATTACCTGTTACTTTTACGAACACCCAAAGAAAATACCAGTACCGGTATATCAATAATATCATATGAATATTAATGTCATTAATGTGCATGGTCGTATTTCAACCATCTTGCTTTCACTATGCATTGGCAAAATGTACACACGATATCAACGGTTCATTCACAACCCTCAGTCTCACAGCAAATCTTTTGAAAACACCTCGATTTTAGAAACTTATGGAGCGATAGCAAACTGTATAGCAAAGCCATAGGTCTGCATTTACCCTTTTCATAACGGAATTTGTTTCCAGAACGACATGGCATGTGCTAATCTTAGGGTAAAACACACAGAAACCATTGCACAATGCGCTTGGGACAGGATTTGCGCTATGTCAAAGTTTTTTATTTAATTTTTTTTTTTGGTTAAAAAATCGATCCTTGCCGTGGATTGGAGGTGAGTTATGGGCAGAGGCTTAACCAAAAGGGGGGGCCTACACAAATCACGGCTCTGGATAGGGGTTGTCCACAAAGGACGTCCGCACAACAAACTTACCTTTTGCACCCCCCTTTCTCCCTTTCCGCCGGTATTTTTTTTTACTAATGTGAAATGCCAATGTAAAACTAAATCAATGATATTTAATTATTGTTAAAAGACTTTTAAAAATCACTGTAGTGTTTCGTATTTATCATCATACCGTTGTTTTGTGTTGACACACGCTTGGTATCACAATGACAATGTCCCGGACAACTTCATGATCAATGTATGAGTATGTGATTCTCTTCCCGTAGTGTATTTGTGGCGTAATTATATCTTGGTGATAACAAAATAGATACACTGGCTTCTCATTCCTTTTTTTCACAACGCCCCGAGGGATAAAATAAAATGTTATAATTATAATGCCCCCCCCCCCCCCATTAAAAACAACCGGGGGGGGGGAAAAAAAATTTCAAATTAGCTCCCCTTTTTTTGCCTTTTAAAAAAAAAAAAATTTTAAATATAAAGCCCCCCCCCCCCCCCAATTAAAAAAAACCGGGGGGGGGGGGGGGGGTAAAATAATTTCAAATTAGCTACCCTTTTTATGCCTATTAAGATTCACAATCATAGGATAAAACTTACAATAATTAATATATTTGTATTTCAATATTTGGGGGGAGGGGCGGGGAGTAAAGTGGTTAACTTTAAAAATAAATCATGGTTTAACATAACACCTCCAGCCCCCTCCCTTCCAATAAATAATAAGAAACGCTTTACAACTACTTTGCCACATAAGCGTGGAACTTACTCAATATCTTCCTCCCAAGGTACAAAACGAATTTTAAATAAATCGTTTTCAGTTTTAACAAGAGTATAACATTCAATCTACAAGTACCGGTTAAGCCAAAAAGTTAAAGACTCGCAAAGATCATGGTTTTGCTAATTTAAATCGCTGCGGTGTATGCAGGCCACAGACCATGATTTAGCTAGGTACACCGCCGCGGTGTACGCAGGCCAAAGTCAATATTTTCGCTAGGTACACCGCCGCGGTGTACCTAGTGCCGGTGAAAATTTTTTGAGACCCGAGTAGATTATGCCCTATGCCATGCCTATATAATTATAAATAAAGCGAGCGCTACAAAAAGTCTATATCTGGTAGACTGAACACAACATCGCAGAAAATGATATATTTATCATTTAGCAAATCCATCAAATGCCATGACTCATGAATCTATGTTGGTTATAACCCTACCTAATGCACTATAGTTTGTGTGCTAAGCTACTAACCTAAATTGGCTACACCAAATATTTACTGTTTGTTTTTGTAAAAGTAGCCAAGTTACTCACACAATAAGCATTAACAGCAACAGTTTCTAAAAAATACATACTTTTTAAATTTTAATAGTAGTTTTAAAAACTGTGGGCTTAATTAAATGAGTAAATAGCAAAAAATTAGGAAAGTTTCTAGTTAGGCTAAAAATTACATCCCAATGTCAAAATTGATTAAAAGAGTAAAGGTTTCTGTTTTTGACAATTGACAATTTGGGCATTGGGTCTAATTAAATATTTTACAATTATATCTAATAAATTGAATTAAAAATATCACTTTTCAAATTCATAATGTAAATATTATTTTTTAAATATACGAAAGGAAGATTAAATAAAAGACAAATATTGATTGGTACTTGAAACCCAAATAATTTGCAAACAAACTTATTCCCTACCACTAGGCTACATAAATTTGTATAAATGGACATTAAGGGAACAATATATTCACATTAGCCACTATCTGTTATCTGGAAACATGGTCAAGATTTCAACTGTGGCTAATGCACCCATTGGTCCAATGATAAGCTATGTTAATCAATGCAGTATATGCGAATTTTGATATAATAGGCTTACAGCTAAAGTAAACATACCTACTTTCATTATATAATATGGTATTGCTGTAGGGTGGTAAGGATTTATTCTTTTTTCACTTCAAGTTTTAATTTAAGACAGTTAAATTTATGAAGTGGTTAACATATTCAAATTAAGAAAGTCATATAATTTTTTGTTTATTTAGGACAGGTAAGTCCTTTAACATTATAAAATTATGATGGACTATTTCAAGTTGTGGTTTAAATTTGCTCTGATGATCAGATATGGAAATATTCTCAGATGTGCATATGGTAGAAAAAAAACCATAACATGCAATTCTGTTTTCTTTAAAGTACATGTAAAATTAATAGTTAATAGTTACAATGATGACAGAAAAGTACCAAGAATTTCAAAACTGAAAGCCCAATAATACTCTAGCACCTTCATATGGTATCAATAGAGAAACAAATTAAAGTTAACTTGAAGTATTATACATAACATAAATGATTAGTAAGTAGAAAGTCTTGGGAAAAGAATGGTTACACAAATTTCTCTTTTACCTGTAAAATAACCTTGATATGGTTTCAATAGAGAAAGGAATTAAAGTATTATTATGCATAACTTAAATGATTAGTACCAAGTCTTGTAAAAGAATGGTTACAAAAATTTCCCACTAACCTGTAAAATACTTTTATTCATATATGCCATGCATTATTATTCTTCAAAAAATATTTCAAACATATTCTTTCATGATTGCATAATTTTGCCTTTAAAATTATAATTTTTTTGAAATTTCATCTTTTAAATTTTCTTTAGGTTAATTGATATAAAGGATAAAATGGATGAAAATCCGGATGATCAAGCAGCTCCACCTGGGCCCCACCCTACTGGAAGAGATGAGTCAACCTCTGAATTAGTTTCCCAAGCTGCAGATGCTAGTGTCTTATCCAGAACTGTTCATGATGAAAAAAGTACTTCAGAGGAGCAAAATCTAAATGCTAGTGCAGATGCAAAATCTAGTCTAACTCTTTTTCAAACTCAGCCTCTTGAAGCCCTAGAGCCAAACACTGGCTTAGATCAAGCTGACCTAACAAAGACATCAGCCATAAGTCATGAGACAAAACTAAACAAATTGGAGAATGACTCGCCCAGTGAACAGGTTCACCTAAACCTTGAAGAAAAAAAACACCAACACCCAGAAGCTATTGAAGTCATGCCTGCTCCTAGTAGCACACTTGCTGAAGAGCAGGTGTCAGGTCCAGACAAAAAATCAAGCTCAGCTTCCAGTCCCAACTCTGGTTCAACATCTGGCCTAGACAGTGGCGTTAGTCCAGATGACTCAAGCCCTGATACTGCTAAGTCAAATGTGGAGATGAAGTCCCATGCCGATGAGGTACAGACTGCTGACAAACCAAAAAGTGTAGAGGTTGGGCCCCTTGAAACAGTGGACCAGTCCGAGTCTCCTTGTCACACCCAGCCAAATTTGTCACCTGATGCCAACACATCGGTTTCAGAAACACAGGTAACTGTGTCAGACTTGGATTCACCTCCTGCTGAAGCTTCAGCATCTGCCTCAAATGTGGATCAGGAGAGTGTCTACTACATCAAATGGATTACATTTGGTCAGGCCAATGTTCCTATCATCACACAAAATGAAAATGGGCCTTGTCCACTCCTTGCAATCATGAATGTTTTGTTATTAAAAGGAAAGGTTTGTTCATAGTTAGATCCATTATATTTTTACAATTTGTTCAATACTTTTTGCATATTTTCTCCTTAATTTAGTACATCTGAATTATGTAACTTTTCTACATTTAAAATAATAAATATTTATAGTGATTATTACTGTTTTCCAAAAGGTACTTTATGCAATGGTTCTTGACACTAACAAATAGTTCATTTATTCAATGACAGGTGAAGCTGGCTCCCATGATAGAAATGGTGACATCTGAGCAGCTGATGACGTACCTAGGAGACTGTATATTTGAAAATATGCCACAAGTCAGTACTTTTTTTTTTTTGGTCATCTTACAGGGCCAGCATATGAATTTGGAAAAAAGCATATGAATGCCTAATTTATCTGTGGGGATTATGCTCATATTCCCTGGAGATTTTATAGTGGTTTTGAATTGGCTTTTCAAATAAAACTTGCACCCAAGAACAAGTATATCAAAGGGGATTGGTTTTTACAATAAAATACAAACGAGTTGGCTTATCAATCAAAGTTTGCTTATTTGGGATGACAAAATTTTTTTGCTCTCTGTAAACTGGTTATATAGGCTGTAGAAGTCCTATTTTGAACTGGTGATTGGCCTTCTCTACTTCTTAGAAATAAATTAGGTAAAATTGAAGCAGATAAAAAAAAATTCTGATGATGCATTTGTTATGAAGATTTCAAAATCAATTGTTGATATTGTCACAGTTGCATAAATAGATTTACCATAGAGTTTATGCATCTGTCAATCTGATTTTTAGGAAGAAAAAAAATTCCTTCCATTTTTCTGTTTATGGGAAATTTTACCATCGACCCCTTCTTATCTCATTCCTTACTCTGTTGTAGTAAAGTGAGACCCTGTTTTCATGTTAAAATGCTACCCTCTTAGGTCTAAGATGAATCATTATTTCAGAATTTGTCTACAACTAGTCAAGCTAACTATGAACAAAATATGCAAGATGCCATGAGTGTAATGTACAAGCTGCAGACTGGTCTGGATGTCAATGTCAAGTTTACTGGGTGGGTTTGAGTTTATAGAGAGCGCATTAATGTATAAATCACCTCCTAGTCTGTAATTTTTTTTTTGAATCACAACTTGTCTTTAATCTTGTTCATATACATAATACATATACATTCATATACATACATTTATTGAATATTGCCGTCAATTCTTGGAAAACCCTCTACACTTCTGATAAAAAATAATTTCCCTCGCTTAATTTTATGTATTGTTCTTAATGATTTTGACATCCGATACAATGAACAAAACTAAATTTTAGTTTTTCAATCACATGCATTTTCTTCGTAATGGTAATAGTTGTTGAATTCCTTCTATTTCTATGTTTAGTGTGGCTGACTTTGAGTACACACCAGAATTGATCATCTTTGATCTGCTGGAGATTTCACTGTATCATGGCTGGCTGGTTGACCCCCAGGACCCAGACACAGTCCAAGCCGTCAATCAAGACAGTTACAATCAGCTGGTTGAGAAGATTATCTTACTCAAGCACTCGGACAAGGAAGAGAACATAACACAAGGTTGCCCTCTTGAGTCATGTTCTAGTACATAACAATCTTTTCAACTTTTCTATCTGCATTCGTATAAAATCTTGAATTTTTCTTTTTTAAATTAAGAAAAAAGAATGTTTTTATAATTAAACTAAAAACTGTCTATAGTTTTGAAACATACAACATACCGACAAAACAAATTGCCAAAATGCTACATTCGTACACTGAATAAATATTGGTGACTACCAATGTGGATTCAAACAAAACAGATCAATGACTGATCAGATTTTCACCATCATTTAGTCGTCTATTAGAGAAATGTTACAAATATGATAACCCAATACATCAACTCTATTTGGACTATAAAGTGGCCTATGACAGCATCACTATTTAAAAAAAAATATGTTATGAGATTCTGCAGGAATTAAGCATACCCAACAAACTGACAAGACTGATACATATAAACAACTCAAAAAGTAAAATCAATGCTCAGGGAGAATATTCAAGGGAATTTCAGATTAGACGAGGCCTAAGACAAGGAGACTCACTGTCTTGTATGCTATTTAACCTAACATTAGAGAGTTATAAGAAGCATGGATATTGAAGTCTGAAAGGAACAATAACAGAATACTTTCAGATGGAAAGACCCAAGCCTATAAACACTCTCTACAATCAACCTCTTTAGTATCTTGCATATGCTGATGACATAGCACTGTTGGGGAAAAATGGTAAAGACAAATCAGAAGCCTTTATTGCATTGGAAGAGGCATCACCACAAGCAGGGCTGGAAGGTGACAACCAAAAAACAAAATACATGACTATTAATAAGTGTGGGCATGAAGAAATTATGGGATTACATGGTGTAGGAGAGGCAAATGAGAACGGTGAAAGACTGGCAGACTTCTGTGCAGCAAATGAGCTTGTTATCGGAGGCAGCAAATTCCAACATAAAAACATCCACAAGATAACATGGGTATCCCCGGATAACAAAACGCAAAACCAAATAGATCACACTTCTATTAGCAAAAAATGTAGAAGGTCTCTACAAGATGTACGAGCAAAAAGAGGAGCTGATGTTGCATCAATCATCATCTTGTTTAGGCAAAACTCGCATTAAAACTGAAGAAAAACTGGGAAAAGCCAGCTGCTAAATGAACAAAATTCAACATAGCACTTCTGGCAATGAGCTGAAACAAGAGGAATTCAGTGCTACCTTAAGGAATAAGTTCCAAGCACTGGAAGACCAACCAGAAGTTGAACAGGTAGAATATAAATGGCAAGATATAAAGATGGCTGTAACATCCACTTGCCAAGAGGTTGTAGGATCAGTGAAGGAGAAACACAAAGACTGGCTCTCACCTAACAGGGCGGAGAAAACGAAAGCACAAGAGAAATATAAAGAAGCAAATCAAAGGGTAAAAAACAGCATCAGAAAGATAAAAAAATTCTTACATAGATGGCCTACCATCAACAGCAGAAGAAGCAGCCAGGAAGGGCAATTTGAAAACGCTTTATGACATAACAAGAAAGCTGTCAGGAAGATACTAAGGACCGGACTTTTGAAGATAAAGAAGGTAGATCAATAAGGGAAAGAAAAAACAACAACAAAAATGGATGAAATACTTAAAGGAACTTTTAAACAGACACATCAGACATACAACCAGAAAATGAGGACTTATTAATAGATGAAAGCATAATAATAATAATAATAATAAGGTTTATATGAAAATCAAGCTTCATCCCCAAAGGCTCGAAGCGCGGTACAAAGTCAACCATATTAAAAGAGAAATGAAAAAATATATATTTTACCACATTGAAATACAAAACGCAACATTACAAAAACTATATACGAGAATACCCATTTTAATTTTAAGTCTTTCATCCCTTGCAACCATAAACAACACAGGCCAATATACACCTAGGAGATAATAGCTACCTGGAAAAGATGTTAGACAAAAAGAAAATACCAAATAAGGAAGAAATAAATCTGGCCATCAAGCAGCTCAAATTAAGGAAAGCATCAGGACCAGATAACACCACAGAAGAGATGATGAGAGCTGATATAGGTACAATAGTCAACATGCTGCATCCTCTGTTTGAAAAGATCTGGGAAGAAGAGAGAGTTTCAAAAGATTGAAAAGATGGATACCTCATCAAGATACCAAAGAAAGGGGATCTCAGCAATTGTGCAAATTACAGAGGAATTACACTACTGTCTGTACCAAGTAAGGTCTTTAACATAATTATTTTGAATTGAATGAAAAACCAGGTCGATATACAGCTACGAGACCCACAGGCTGGTTTCCGCTGAAACAGATCATGCACAGATCAAATAGCAACACTAAGAATCATTGTAGAACAGACCATCAAATGGAACTCCCTCCTATACATAAATTGTATAGACTATGGAAAGGCCTTTGGTAGCCTGGACTGACATACCTTGTGGAAACTTTGGAGTGCCATGAAAACTAGTCAAAATCATTCAGAGTTCCTATGAAGAAATTACATGCAGGGTGGCACACTAAGGTAGACTCGCAGACAATCCCTAACATGGAATCCACAGGGAAAAAAGAAAGAGAGGAAGTCCAAAGAATACATGGACATGTGAGCTAGAGGCAGACACACAAAGTATGTGATACAGCTCGAAGCAACTGGAAAGGAAAGCACTGGACTGTACTGTAATGAATGAAAAATTCTTGTGGACGGCCTGTGCCCCAGATGGGGTAAAAAACCATAGAAAGAAGAAGATAATAAGAAAACAAGAGACAGATGAAAAAATTAAAATTAGAAACCACACTTTTGAAAAAGTAAATCAACTTGGGATCTTTATTAAATGAAAGAAATGAATTAGTTATAGAAATAAAAGAAAGAATGCCATCTGGAAACAGGGCATACTTCAGTAGTCACTAAATACTCAAATGTAAAAACGTTACAAGAAAAACAAAGAAAACTATATATAAATGTAATCAGAACCAGTCGTAGCATACACAAGTGAAACTTGGACTCTTAACAAAAATGTCAGAAAATCTATTAAACACATGGGAAAGTAAATTTCTTCGCAAAATTTACGGACCAACAAAGAATGAATATGTATGGAGAATAAAAACCAACCAGGATTTGAATGGACTATATCAGAATCCCACGCTATTAGCAGAAATAAAAAAGGGCGGGAACCTTAGAATGAATTCCAATTGACACAGGAGTGAAGAGGGTGCACCACCAAAACCCGAGGTAAATGACTCAAAGGCAGACCTAGGCTTAGATGATGGATAATGTGGAAAAATATCTATAATAGCTGGGAATCCAAGCATGGAAAAGAAAACCATTAATATTGTTTTATTTATTAATTATTAATCTTCTTTCAATATAAATATACATTGTTTTAAAAATTTTCGTATTAAATTTTATTCATATTCCGTTTTAAGTGAAATTTGATAAGATAGCTTTATTAGTTTTGACATACATACCAATAATTTTAAATTGAGGTTTGACATGTCTTAATGTTTAGCTGGGCCTAAATCATTGTCATATCTAGAATAATAAACTAAATGACTAAACAGGATATATTTGACAAAAAAATTAGAAAGATGTTGATTCCCAATAATAAATAAATCTATAGTTAAACTAGGAGATTTTTTCCTCCAGAGCAGGAGTTCTTAACATGTGGTCCACAGACCTGTTGGGGGTTCAGGAAAATGTTCAGGGGTTTAGTGATCTACATTTCCTATGCAATTTTATCGTATGCATTTAAAATCTTTATTTTAAAAAGTGGTCAGTGGTCTTCAACTGACAGGAAAAAAAGAGTCATTTTGAAAAAAAAAGGTTTAAAAAAAAACAGATCAAGATGCTGCCCTGTTGCTTAACAGTTTGCTTGCTTTTCAATACAACTTTTTACCCCAAAATCAATTTTTACCACAAAATCAATTTTTACATATTTATGTGATATTTTTTAGCCAGAGACATTTATTTATACTAATATATATATATAAATAACTCCCCCTTTTTGTCTGTTCAGCTCTCATTGCAGAACAGTTTCTTGAGCGCAGTGCTTCCCAGCTGACCTATCACGGCCTCTGTGAGCTGTCATCAGTTGTCAAAGAGAAAGAGCTGTGTGTGTTTTTCAGGAACAACCATTTTAGTACACTTCATAAGCAAAATGTGAGTGCATCCATTAACCTCTTCTAAACTGAAATGCGTAGTTCTCTTGGTTTTGAGTTACATTTTGTGAGCCGGTGTTGTCAGTGCACATCCACACAGGTAGAGAAAATATTTACTGGGATAATATTTTGAGTAAGATTAAATGCAAGCACTCTACCAAAACGACTACACAAAAACTAAGATGTTCCTGATGTTAGAGGGTCCAGATGAAACTTAAATCATTATATTTTTTTTTTATTAAGTTAAGGGGGAGCTACTCTCTGCAGCCAAAGTGTAAACAAAAATACTCCCTTTGTATGAGATAATGCATATGTGTTTACTTCGATACAATCTTAAAGTAACTTTGGTTATAATAAGAATTAATCTAGATGCCGTTGTAATAATTAGAATTAATCTATTGGCCACTGTAATAATTAGAATTAATCTAGTGGCCGCTCAGATCGATAGAATTAATCTAGAGGCCACCGGAATGATTACAATTAATCTAGAGGCTGCTCTATTAATTAAAATTAATCTAGAGGCCCCTAAACAAAAGTAGAATTAATTAGAGGCCACTCTAATAATTAAAATTAATGTAGAGGCTGCTGTAATAAGTAGAATTTCTGGTAAGGGCAATAACTCTTAGAGGGGGCTACAGTGAGAATGTAATGAGGTGGAATGGGTGGCGTTGTATAATTATATCCCTCCATTAGATCCTTGATAACATTCATTGGTACAGTTGGTCCATTGTCTAAAAAAATGTAATTAGTTGTCTGCCTTGTAGCTGGATCTTGTAGTTGTACTGATGTCAGCTGATGGCTCCATCCATAGAGCAAATTTTTCCCCTTTAAATTTCCTACTTGCTTTGAGTAACACTGAGATCATTCACAATATGAAAAAAATATTGAGTATAAAAAAAATTGCCAGCTATTTATTAAGTATGAAAAGTAAAACTTAGAATGAAATTTTGTCACACATAAAGTTTTCAATTTATTGAGAATCAAAATTTCTTTTTTTTTTGGTAAAGATAATTTTATTTATGTTTAAAATGCTATGTCAAAACAGTTAAACATTGTTGGATTATAATAAATTGTGAAACCATAATTTAAAGGTTAGACACATATTTAATTAAAGTTTAGATTCAAAACTACCCAACAATAATAAGGGAGATAATTTGAGACATGGAAAATCAATTATAGTGACCAGCTTTAGAAATCTAGGCATTAAAACAATCTTTTTGACAACACTGAGAAAAGGATGGGTAGTTTGGTGAGTCATGTTTTCTTAAGGTATATGACTGATATGTCCTGATATCAACTGATATTTCCTGATATCAACTGATATTTTCTGGCATATGTCAATTAAAAAGTTTAAAATGATTTAAAGTTAATTTCAGTGTTTCATAAAAATTAACTGGTATGATTACTTCTGTTTCTTAGCATGATTTCATAGTGGGGTTTTTTCAGTTGTATTTTTCAATGGTGATGTAGACAAAATATATATATTTTTTTAAAAACATTCATTATAATAAAATGCATTTCATTTCCAATACATGATTTTCATTTGTCAAAATGACAACTTCTAACACATGTACATTAATGTATCCCAGGTGTTAAACACAAAACAAACATAAGTGCAAGATAAATACTTTTACAAACAGAGCTTTTTTTGCAAATCAGGGAGTACCTGCATATTGAATTGAAAAGTATTTAAGAAGAAAATAAAGGAGGTCACAATGACAAGTCTTAATATATAAAACACAAACCTAAAAGTACAGCAACATATTTACTTGGGGGCTGTTCATGTTGTTCATCATGAACTGATGAGGCACATGACGGGACTTCAGTGTACAGCTTCTCACCATCCTCTCTTTGATTTGAATGCTATGTTATTGACATTGTGTGAGTCATTTACTGTCAGCCATGTTTCGTCACAGTATTTCATTTTCCTATTATTCTCAACTAGAGCTTTATCATTACTTCACAATCCAAAAAAAATGTTCATGTAAATTGCAAAATAATACTTTTATATTTAAAATTGTATGAACCAAAAATAATTACAAACAATAATATTCGTACAATTTGTAAAATGTGATTGTTTATGGCACCAGGTTCCTGTTTTTGAAACTTCAGGGGAAACGGACACTTTCTTGCTGTTTTGTTTCCTTCTCATTTCAATCTTAAACATTGTTTATCAATCTTAAACATTGTTTTGCCAATCTTAAGCATTGCCTCATCAATCTTAAACATTGTTTCATCATACCTATTTTTAAATCCTTTATTTTAACTTAGCTTTTGTGTGTTTAGAGCAAAATCTTCTGATGGCTAATTGACCCACTTTCTATCAAACCTATCGAGCTGAAACTTGGCCAATAGATTTTTTGTGGGCGACAACACATTCTATCAAATTTTCACCCACAACCCCAAAAATCTGTTTTTCCTGTTTTTCAAGGGGAGGAGGAAGAAAATATGATTCCACTGTTTAAAAAATAAAATTCCTGATAACTGCGCTAGTCTGAATGAGATTCTTAAAGAAAAATATGGCATCAGCGTTTGGTGCATAATATTTTCTTTTGTTTTTATGAAATAGTTGGTGAAATAAACCTGCAGTGTAAAAGCGGGTGCGTCATTATAATATTAATATAAATTAAAATAAGCAAGAATGCATATAAAGCATTTATACGAAAAACTTTGTTTTTAGAGGTTCTTTAATTAATAAATACTGGTATAAATCTCACTAATGAAACTTTGATGACCAAAAAATTAACTTTCATATGTTGCCAGCCTTTAAAGAAAACATACCCCCTGTATTAGCCACTTTTATAATGATTCAATATTTATAAATTAACAGATTGATTCCTCAGTACAAGGTTTTCTGTAATGAAATATGAAGGTTAACGAATTCACTCATTTTGTGAAACAGTGATTTAGTAGCATGGACCAAAACAATTCAATTCTGTTTGATAGATTAAATAGAGAAGAAAATCTATATTTACTCAAGCATCCCCTCCCACCAGCATGGCAGCATTCTTAATGAAATAGTATTTCTGGCCATTACATTTAATCATGGGAACAGACTAACACACAGTACACACCAATGAGGTTAGAGAAAAAAAAATGAACAACAACAAAAAAATGAGGTATCTCAAGTGAGGGGCTTGTGCACTTACACCAACAGTGGTAGACAAGTCTCCTTAAAAAAAAAAAAAAAGGGAGCCCCCTTTTTCTAGTTATGGCATCTAGTGATGTAGTTATACATCTGTTCTTATCTTATGCCATTGCTTTATATAGGAGAGGAAGCGACTTAGCCACGAGAATGTCAATATGGAAAATAAACAAATTATGTTAGTTAAATTTTATGTAGGATAATCTCATTTTCCATGGAGTGGGGTGGGGGGGGGGGTAGTCCATCAATACTGTCTGTTAAGGCACATTTTTAAAGATTGATTCTTTTAATAATATAGTATAAAAATAAAATTGTCGTGGGGGTAAGGGGTGTGTTATCCATGGAGTGGGGTGGGGGGGGGGTAGTCCATCAATACTGTCTGTTAAGGCACATTTTTAAAGATTGATTCTTTTAATAATATAGTATAAAAATAAAATTGTCGTGGGGGTAAGGGGTGTGTTATGGAATATGTAAGAGAGTGTGTTTCTTTCTTTCCTCATTTGAACACTGTCAATAAGAACCTAAAGAACAAATTTGAGCATTTTGTTTTAAAGAAATGCCATGAAAAGGAAACAATGAACCATGACCGCCGCCAGCACCGTAGGTCCTGTAGACAGGGCTTCTCTCAGGGCCGCGTTGTGGGGGTCAAAACTCTTCTTGTGTGGCGTGCTGTGGCTCACAGAGTCGTCCACCTTCACGGGGGTGGCTGCTGTGGAGGAGACCTCCTGAGTGACATCCACCGTCAGTGTGGTGGTGGCCAGGATGTCGACGGCGTAGGGTTGTTGGTGGGAAGGTCCAGTGAAATCATCAGCGGTTGCCAAGTTGCCTTTCTTGTTGGCTGAGTCATTGTGGAGTTTGGTGCCGTCTGGGGCAAACGAGTTGGCTTCTGTGGACATATACATGAGAATGTCATTTTGGAAAATGTAGCTGAAGCAGCATTTAAAAATCAAAGGGAATATTTAACACTGTCTTGATAACTATTAGTGTTGGTCCAATGACCTGGAAAAGACCCATTACCCATCACCACCCCTCCCCCCGTAAGTCTCTTTTAGGTCTCCCCCCCCCCCCCCCCCCCCTTCCCAAACATGAAAGTGTTCATTATTACCCAAGTGTCTATTTGACTATTCATATAATGGTTCAGTGCTGTTTCGTGGTCTTTGAGAGATGGTCCATACTTTGTGTCTTTCCTTTTCTCTCTTTATGCCCTTTCATTTCCACCCACACCCCCTTTTTTATTTTACACCCCTATCCCTCTTTTAAGAAAAAAATGTAAGTTAGTACTTAATAAAGTGCAGAACTGAAGCTGATTGTTTTTATTAAAACGTGGAAGTGGGGTCATTTCGTTTACTCATGGGCCAGTGTGGAATTTAAAGAAAGTTAACTTGTAAAAAGCTTAAAAATTTCCCAGTGCTCTACTAAATAAATATTAAATTGTCTTGAGTTGAGTCTCAATATGTTCCATCACAAGCATTTGAGGTGTCTGTTTTGGTTGTAAATATCATGTTTATAGTAGAATATGATTACATTTTATTGTGTAGTATATCTATTTTCCAGTAAATGGATATTCCAGTGGTATCATTTTTGGAGTTTTAAACAAAAATTTTAATATATGTATATATATTAAAATTTATATATATATATATGCGTGATTGCTTCTATAGCAGTGTTTTCCAAACGTGATTGTTTCTATAGCAGTTTTTTCCAAATGGGATTGTTTCTATAGCAGTTTTTTCTAAATGGGATTGTTTCTATAGCAGTGTTTTTCAAACGGGATTGTTTCTATAGCAGTGTTTTCCAAACGGGGTAATTTGAAGATTATTTTTTTGGTGGGGGTCGGGTGGGTTTGGGATGGATTTAGTCTCTAATCAATAGGAAATGTATTTAGGTATCGAAAAGAGGGGCAGTAATGCTGGACACGGCAACTTTGTAAATTCACCACTGATTAGGATGTCATACAAGGCAACTACACGAAGACAACAGATCACGAACTTAACCTTACCATTGATTGTTGAGGTGGAGTCCAGCAGGCGACAATTAAAAGGCTCGTTGGCATACTTGCTCAGTATGACACTGAACGCTGCGTTGGCTCCACCTTGGCATCCATCTATTTTCGGTCTCATGCAGTCCGAGTAGAGTTGGAGGGCCCTGTGGGGAAATAACGGACATGTAGTTTACGCCGTCAGTTGGAGGGGGTGGCAGAGGAATTACCAGGAACTGATGACTCGAGAAGGGATATTTTTTAAATGTCCGGTTAAAGCATGGTGACCAAAAGCCCCGTAAAAACGGGATTGTCCCTTTTTTTCACGATCGTACCGGCTGTCCCGAAAAAGTCTCTCAGGACTCCTAAAAAATGCCCCGTTTCTAAAACCAAACACATTTTCAAATCACTAAAACTCCCTAATTTATAATACAAGTAATATTTTGGCTAGCTGTGTAGCCAGTGCCAGTATTGATGTGGGCTCGCGTGATGGCTGCTCTGTTCCCCCCCTCCACACCACTCTGCCGACGGTGCGTAAACGACAGTGAAAAATTATTGTTTTCGTTTATGATATGCATCAGAGTTTAAATTAAATTACGAAAGTGAAGACACATTTTTAAAAATGTTCAGGTCTCAAAATAGTTAAAATGAGCAGATTTCAATAAAGAGTTTCTGGCGGATGCCCCCGGACCCCTTTTTTTCTGGAGGGTAACCCACCCCCCCCCCCCCCCCCCCCAAAAAAAAAAAAAAAAAAAAAAATAAAAAACCAACCCCTCCTTCGGTGTGTCCCGTTTTTTCCAGTTCATGATTTGGTCACCCTAGGCTAAAGCAAACCTGGCAGAATCCTCTCTGATATGGAAAGGCTCTAGACTCCGGCACGTGACTTAACCACGAGAATGTACTGCTGCTTGTGGATATTAAAGACAGTATAAAATAACAAAACATTCTTGAGAGCCACCCAGTGTCAAGTTCTGTTGTTTGGTTGGTCGAGCTGATCTTAATCCCCTGGCCCTCGGCGTTGGGCTCATCAAATGCAAGTGAGCAACGATTTCTTGTCCCCGCTCGGCGGCCATGGATATCAAAGAGAGCGCTTTTTAGTTTGCTTTTGTTTTTTTTTTAGGGGGGGGGGGAAGATTGGGGATGCATTGTAAGACCTTGGCCAATATTGTCTTGATCCTGGAATGCAAACAAACGGCCAAACAACCCCCCCCCCTCTTTAAAAAAAAATTTAATTGAGCCAAGAATGTGTGTATTTTGTAGCGGTCTGTTACCGACTGACACATTTCTTGACGTGTTTTTAACAAAAAAAAATTGTTTCGGTAAAATTGTAAATGAACTGTTTAAACAAAAGTATTTTAGCATCGACAGTCGATTTTTAAATCCCACACGCAGTTAGCTGTGTTGTCTCCCGGAGTACGTGCTTGAGGTATTTACTATGCAGCTTTTACCTAGCCCCCTCCACCCCTAGTTGATTGTGTTGTTTCCCTGATTATGTACTTGGGGTATTTACTATGCATGTTTTACCGCGACCCCCGCCCCGAAAAAGTTAGCTGTGTTGTCTCCGAGAAAACGTGATTGAGGTATTTACTATGCATGTTTTACCCCGACCCCCGCCCCGAAAAAGTTAGTTGTGTTGTCTCCCGGAATACATGCTTGAGGTATTTACTATGCAGCGTTTACCTGCCCCCCCCCCCCCTTCTCAGAAAATATGCTTAACTTCGTTAAGGGTATTTACTATGCATGTTTTACCCCGACCCCCGCCCCGAAAAAGTTAGTTGTGTTGTCCCCCGGAATACATGCTTGAGGTATTTACTATGCAGCGTTTACCTGCCCCCCCCCCCCCTTCTCAGAAAATATGCTTAACTTCGTTAGCGTCCAATCCACCCGGCCATTGACACACAGCTTAGGACAACCCTTATAGATTACATTGAGCTACTCAACTGACCTGCAAAGCTCCGCCGTGCTGTTGGCTTGACTGGCCGAGGACAGCTGCTGCCTCTCTCCCTGGCAGGACGTCATTGCTGTCATGACGGAGGACTCACTACAACGGTCATCTCCATCCTCCGCTGCGGACACAAAAAAAAAACTGTTGTGCCTTTAACCGATGACATGAGCCTGTAACTGTCTGATGGGATGAGCCTGTAACTGTCTGATGGGTCGAGCCTGTAACTGTCTGATGGGTCCAGCCTGTAACTGTCTGATGGGACGATGGGATGAGCCTCTAACTGTCTGATGGGACGAGCCTGTAACTGTCTGATGGGTCGAGCCTGTAACTGTCTGATGGGATGAGCCTGTAACTGTCTGATGGGATGAGCCTGTAACTGTCTGATGGGTCGAGCCTGTAACTGTCTGATGGGATGAGCCTGTAACTGTCTGATGGGACGAGCCTGTAACTGTCTGATGGGACGAGCCTGTCACTGTCTGATGGGATGAGCCTGTAACTGTNCTGCCTCTCTCCCTGGCAGGACGTCATTGCTGTCATGACGGAGGACTCACTACAACGGTCATCTCCATCCTCCGCTGCGGACACACAAAAAAAACTGTTGTGCCTTTAACCGATGACATGAGCCTGTAACTGTCTGATGGGATGAGCCTGTAACTGTCTGATGGGTCGAGCCTGTAACTGTCTGATGGGTCGAGCCTGTAACTGTCTGATGGGACGATGGGATGAGCCTCTAACTGTCTGATGGGACGAGCCTGTAACTGTCTGATGGGTCGAGCCTGTAACTGTCTGATGGGATGAGCCTGTAACTGTTACATGGGACGAGCATGTAACTATCTGATGGATCGAGCCTGTAACTGTCTGATGGGATGAGCCTGTAACTGTCTGATGGGTCGAGCCTGTAACTGTCTGATGGGACGAGTCTGTAACTGTCTGATGGGACGATGGGATGAGCCTCTAACTGTCTGATGGGACGAGCCTGTAACTGTCTGATGGGAGGAGCATGTAACTGTCTGATGGGAGTAGCATGTAGCTGTCTGATGGGATGAGCCTGTAACTGTTAGATGGGACGAGCATGTAACTGTCTGATGGGACGAGCCCGTAACTGTCTGATGTGATGAGCCTGTAACTGTCTGATGTGATGAGCCTGTAACTGATGGGATGATCCTATAACTGTCTGATGTGATGAGCCTATGACTGTCTGCTGGGATGCGCCTGTAACTGATGGGATGATCCTATAATTGTCTGATGTGATGAGCCTGTAACTGATGGGATGATGAGCCTATAACTGTCTGATATGATGAGCCTGTAACTGATGGGATGATCCTATAACTGTCTGATGGGATGAGCCTATAACTGTCTGATGTGATGAGCCTGTAGCTATCTGATGTGATGAGCTTGTAACTGATGGGATGATCCTATAACTCTCTGATGGGATGAGCCTAGCTGTCTGATGTGATGAGCCTGTAACTGATGGGATTATCCTATAACTCTCTGATGGGATGAGCCTTTATAACTGTCTGCTGGGAAGATCCTGTAATTGAAGGGATGATCCTATAACTATAACTTCTGATGTGATGAGCCTGTAACTGATGGGATGATCCTATAACTGTCTGATGTGATGAGCCTATAACTGTCTGATGTGATGAGCCTGTAACTGTCTGATGTGATGAGGCTGTAACTGTCTGATGGGATGATCATGTAATTGATGGGATGATCCTATAAATGTCTGATGGGATTATCCTATAAGTGTCTGATGTGATGAGCCTATAACTGTCTGATGTGATGAACCTGTAACTGTCTGCTGGGATGATTCTGTAACTGATGGGATGAGCCTGTAATTGATGGGATGATCCTATAACTCTCTGATGGGATGAGCCTATAACTGTCTGCTGTGATGATCCTGTAATTGATGGGATGATCCTATAACTTTCTGATGTGATGAGCCTGTAACTGATGGGATGATCCTATAACTGTCTGATGTGATGATCCTGTAACTGATTGGATGAGCCTGTAATTGATGTGATGATCCTGTAACTGATGGGATGATCCTATAACTGTCTGATGTGATGATTCTGTAACTGATGGGATGAGCCTGTAATTGATGGGATGATCCTATAACTCTCTGATGGGATGAGCCTATAACTGTCTGCTGTGATGATCCTGTAATTGATGGGATGAGCCTATAACTGTCTGATGTGATGAGCCTGTAACTGATGGGATGAGCCTATAACAGTCTGATGTGATGATCCTGTAACTGATTGGATGAGCCTGTAATTGATGTGATGATCCTGTAACTGATGGGATGAGCCTATAACTGTCTGATGGGATGAGCCTATAACTGTCTGATGTGATGAGCCTATAACTGTCTGATGTGATGAGCCTATAACTGTCTGATGTGATAAGCCTGTAACTGTCTGATGTGATGAGGCTGTAACTGATGGGTTGATCCTATAAATGTCTGATGGGATGAGCCTGTAACTTCCTGATGTGATGATCATGTAATTGATGGGATGATCCTATAAATGTCTGATGGGATTATCCTATAAGTGTCTGATGTGATGAGCCTATAACTGTCCGATGTGATGAACCTGTAACTGTCTGCTGGGATGATCCTGTAACTGATGGGATGAGCCTGTAATTTATGGGATGAGCCTATAACTGTCTGATGTGATGAGCCTGTAACTGTCTACTGGGATGAGCCTGTAACTGATGGGATGAGCCTGTAACTGTCTGCTGGGATGAGCCTGTAACTGATGGGATGAGCCTGTAACTGTCTGATCTGATGAGCCTGTAACTGTTTGTTGGGATGAGCCTGTAACTGATGGGATGAGCCTGTAATTGATGGGAGGAGCCTGTAATTGATGGGATGATCCTGTAACAGATGGGATGAGCCTATAACTGTCTGATGTGATGATCCTGTAACTGATGGGTTGAGCCTATAACTGTCTGATGTGATGATTCTGTAACTGATGGAATGAGCCTGTAATTGATGTGATGATCCTGTAACTGATGGGATGAGCCTATAACTGTCTGATGTGATGATCCTGTAACTGATGGGTTGAGCCTATAACTGTCTGATGTGATGATCCTGTAACTGATGGAATGAGCCTGTAATTGATGTGATGATCCTGTAACTGATGGGTTGAGCCTATAACTGTCTGATGTGATGATTCTGTAACTGATGGAATGAGCCTGTAATTGATGTGATGATCCTGTAACTGATGGGTTGAGCCTATAACTGTCTGATGTGATGATCCTGTAACTGATGGGTTGAGCCTATAACTGTCTGATGTGATGATCCTGTAACTGATGGGTTGAGCCTATAACTGTCTGATGTGATGATCCTGTAACTGATGGAATGAGCCTGTAATTGATGTGATGATCCTGTAACTGATGGGATGAGCCTATAACTGTCTGATGTGATGATCCTGTAACTGATGGGTTGAGCCTATAACTGTCTGATGTGATGATTCTGTAACTGATGGAATGAGCCTGTAATTGATGTGATGATCCTGTAACTGATGGGATGAGCCTATAACTGTCTGATGTGATGATCCTGTAACTGATGGGATGAGCCTATAACTGTCTGATGTGATGATTCTGTAACTGATGGAATGAGCCTGTAATTGATGTGATGATCCTGTAACTGATGGGATGAGCCTATAACTGTCTGATGTGATGATCCTGTAACTGATTGGATGAGCCTGTAATTGATGTGATGATCCTGTAACTGATGGGATGAGCCTATAACTGTCTGATGTGATGAGCCTGTAAATGTCTGATGGGATGAGCCTGTAAATGTCTGATGGGATGAGCCTGTAAATGTCTGATGAGATTGGTTTCGCTTGTTTGTTTGTTGTTTTTTTTGAATAAACCCCAATAAGGTAACTAGGTAGATATTGTGGTCAAAAGACTTTTTACTTTTAAACGATGGTGTATATTGTGGTCAGTGTGGGAAAAATAAATGGAGCTAGACGGTGAACTGTCCAACTCTACCACCATTTAAAGGTAATGCTTGATACATCCCTGTCTCTTAGAGACAATATTATAGATAATCACCGTACTGCCCGACTTTGGGAAATAGTACTCTAACTGAATATCCCATGTCGGACTCGGAGCAAACAAAAGACAATATTAATTTATTAATTAATACAATAAGTTGACACTACACGTTGAGACTACACGATTCAGTTAGGATTTAGATCACAAAGGCGGAGTTGGGAAAGGAAAACTCGATTCTTGATTTGAGTAAATACGCCGTCAGTAATTCGGGGGGGGGGGGGGGGGGGGGTTTTTTTTTTTTTTTTTTTTTTAAAATATTACGACGAAAAAAAAAAAAAAAAAAAAAAAAAGATTTAGATCACAAAGGCGGAGTTGGGAAAGGAAAACTCGATTCTTGATTTGGGTAAATACGCCGTCAGTAATTCGGGGGGGGGGGGCAATTTTTTTTTTTATATTGTATGCAAAATCTCAGCCGAAAACCAAAAATAAAATAAAATAGTAAATAGTACAATAATGATCAGACCATTTTTACTTTATAAAACGAGTTTAAGAAATGCCCCTAATTAATAAAACAGATTTGCACAAGCTTATAATATAGTAACAGAATCTTTAAAGTATGGCAACAAACATGTTAAAGTTAGCCGTTATTACAAAATAATTGAAGCTGATATAATATATAAGTATTGCATATTTCTAGTGTGGTATTTGTTCCGGCACGTTTGATCTACGTTTCCAGTGACGTCATAGCAAGACGGAGAGCCGTATTTATTTCAAACCGAGCCCGGATTTAGTTACTGTGACAGATGAAAATGTCTTTTCGCAAAAAAATGTGTTGTTGAAAATTGAATCAAAATGTTCATTGCTTGCTCGGCAATGTGTGTTTCTTTTGTATAGAGTCAACAAATGGGTTGTCTTGATGAGGCCTGACTGGAATCAAGCTTTGAGACAGTCGTCAGAGCTTTCATTTTCATTTATGCCTAACTTGCCATCTGCAATGTTTGTTACAAATAGATCTATTATAAACAACATGCGAGATCGTCCTTCTGTGGGTGGTTAAGGCCGAAAGATTCTGTGACTGGTTGTAGATGCCGTTGAGCAATGGTCACCAACTGCCGGTCGACGTCCTTCTGTGACTGGTTGTAGTTGCCGTTGAGCAATGGTCACCAACTGCCGGTCGACGTCCTTCTGTGACTGGTTGTAGATGCCGTTGAGCAATGGTCACCAACTGCCGGTCGACGTCCTTCTCACGTTATACTGTTCTATATTCATCAAAATTTGAAACTATTTGCAGATCTTCGTCAGCCAACCTTGTTTGCCACTGAGATTTTCTTTTTGAAAAGCATGCATTTACATCGTAGTGTGAACACGTCCTTAAGTTATCCTTGCAAGGATGTGTGTAGCTCTTTAAATTAACAACGAATAAATATCTTGGCTACAAACTCATCGTCAGAAAAGTGTTGACACTTTTTATTTTTGTATTTTGTCTTTTGCTGCTGGGAAAATAATTTGATATCTTGGCGCAGGGTGAACTGTTTGGTACCTAAAATGAAAAAAAAAAAAAAAATTTTATCGATTTTTCTGCCGACCGCCAAAATTTTATTTATTGCTGAGCACCAGTTGATCAAATCATGTCTCCGAATGATTCTACGAATCCGCTGGCCCAACGTCATCACCAACGAGGATCTCTGGCGGCGCACACAACAAGAACCAGTGGAAGCGTTAGTCTTGCCAGCGCAGATAGATCAGAATTGGTCACACCCTCGGAAAGCCTACATCCAGTACCACGAGACAAGCCCTCACTTGGAACCCCCAGGGCAAGAGAAAAAGAGGTCGACCCAAAATAACTTGGAGAAGGGAACTGGAGGCAGGCACCAAAAAGAGTGGGCACCACTGGGGACAGCTGGAGAGACTGGCCCAAGACCGGGATGCCTGGAGAGCCTTTGTTTGTGGCCTATGCCCCAGATGGGACGACAGGCGATGATGGTGATGATGACCAGTGGCCAGGGGACCATCGGTTGGCGACCGCTGCGTTTTAACCTGTTTTATATTGATCTGTTAACTCTTTAGTTTTGTTCAAAAAGAAAATACAAAGTTCACTTGGAAGAGTGAGTTTAGGTCCGTCACATTACGCATGGCGAGGTAGTATGACTTTCATTTTGATGAGGTTTTTTTAATGTCATATACAAAGTCAGCCTTACCAAGAATGATTATCTCTGCTGTCAAATGGAATGGCAGTCGTACCAAGCATGATTATCTGTGCTGTCAAATGGAAAGTCAGCCATACCAAGCATGATTATCTGTGCTGTCAAATGGAATGGCAGTCATACCAAGCAGGATTATCTGTGCTGTCAAATGAAATGACAGTCGTACCCAGTATGATTATCTGTGCTCTTCCTTACTTACTGTAAACCCTCTAGGTCAGTGGTTCTCAACCTTCCTTATGCCACGACCCTTTAATACAGCTACCATTATTGTGGCGACCCCCAACCACATATTTTTGTTCGTTGCTATGTCATAACTGTAGATTACATGTGTTTTCTGATAGTCTTAGGCGACCCCCTAGGAAAAGGTCGTGCGACCCCCAAAGGGGTCGCTGGGTCGCGACCCACATGTTGAGAACCGCTGCCCTAGGTTGACTCTTGTTGTTCTATGAGTTTACTTTACAAAGCCGCCAAAACAATATCAAACCCAACTTTTGTGTTGTACCCAACATTTCTATTGTACCTAATTGTAGCGAACTGTTCTGTTGTACCGGTACCTAGCAACAGTTTCGCTACCCAACAGTATCGTACCAAACATTGACTCTGAAGTCATGAGATTCTTACTTAACGAACCGTCAAAAGTATTTTTAAGGCTCATGCTAATTAAAACTAATGAAGAACACGAACGCTTTGTTTCATTAACCCCCCCCCCCCCAAAAAAAAAAAAAACCCCCAAAAAAAAAAAATGTCAATTGCACTTTCAAAGATAAAGCATTGTACACATTGTAGTTTAAAGATGAGGCATTGTACACATTGTAGTTTAAAGATGAGGCATTGTACACATTGTAGTTTAAAGATGAGGCATTGTACACATTGTAGTTTAAAGATAAGGCATGTTACATATTGTAGTTTAAAGATAAGGCATTGTACACATTGTAGTTTAAAGATGAGGCATTGTAAACATTGTAGTTTAAAGATAAGGCATTGTACACATTGTAGTTTAAAGATAAGGCATTGTACACTTTGTAGTTTAAAGATAAGGCATTGTACACATTGTAGTTTAAAGATAAGGCATGGCACACATTGTTGTTCAAAGTTGAGACATTGTACACAAACCCTACCAACCCAATATTTACTTGACTAACGTTGAAGACCAACTGTCTCCTTATCATTTGTTACCATCACTTGTTAGCAATTCTCATTTTTGCTTTCAATGAGTTTTTAAACAATGGACATCGAGATCTTACTTTGTGTTCACTACTTACCCACCATACGTGTGCCCTACTCACCCACCTTACGTGTGCCCTACTCACCCACCTTACGTGTACCCTACTCACCCACCTTACGTGTGCCCTACTCACCCACCACACGTGTGCCCTACTCACCCACCTTACGTGTGCACTACTCACCCACCATACGTGTGTTCTACTTACCCACCATAGTGTGCACTACTCACCCACCTTACGTGTGCCCTGCTTACCCACCATACGTGTGTCCTACTTACCCACCATACGTGTGCACTACTCACCCCCCTTACGTGTGCCCTACTTACCCACCATACGTGTGCACTACTCACCCACCTTACGTGTGCCCTACTTACCCACCATACGTGTGCCCTACTCACCCACCATACGTGTGCCCTACTTACCCACCATTCGTGTGCACTACTCACCCACCATACGTGTGCCCTACTTACCCACCTTACGTGTGCCCTACTTACCCACCATTCGTGTGCACTACTCACCCACCTTACGTGTGCCCTACTTACCCACCTTACGTGTGCCCTACTCACCCACCATACGTTCTACTGTTATTCGCCAGACACTTTAAAGTGCCAATCTGCTTTATTTTCCACGGAAGAAAAAAGAAGCAGCTCAAATTGCATGAGTTTAAACCTATGTGTAGCCACTTTTACCTAGCATCTCATTTAGGCCTACCTGTAACTGTTGTGGTCCACCCTGATGCGACGATACCCAACCATAGCACGATCACGTTTCCTTTCACTTTCATTGCGTTATATTGGAACACCGCCGAGAACGTTCCAATGGAAACCACAGATCTCGAGTAATTATTGTACCGTTTATCCTGAAGAATTCACTTTATTGTTTAACCGTCGGGACGCTTGTCGTTTAGTTTAACTCAAACACATGCTTGGGGCGAATGCCAAGATGTCTGGCTCCCGAATCTGACTGGTTTCAACACCAAGACGTTAATAACCTCGGTTTGTTTATCCTGATGACTCCTGACCTGAAGACCTTTCCCCCCCGAGAAGCCACGCCGGTCATTGGTCCGAGGATGGGAGAGGGCTTTATGTCCCCTGGCCAGCATTCACTCCCTTCGACTTGAATTAAGGCAAGCCAATAGCCCGAACCAGGGGATCTCCAAAAAAAAAAAAAGATGGGGTGGGGGGCGTGTCATTTGAGATTGGACAACGGACATTTCAGAACAGAAAGCAAGAAGTGTGGCGAATATTGCAATACATGGCAGGTCATTGGTAGATGACCCATAACTAGAAGAGCTCACAAACTGTTTGTATGATGATAACTATTTGAAAAACCAATGGGCTCGGAGCAGTTGGGGCCTTGCAGAACTATCAGATGTGATCGGTTCAATGTTTTATTGATCAACCGCCCAATCGCAGTGTACGCTTGGGATGGTGGATGTTAGATTAGGATCAGGAGACTTTGTAAACCCATGCTGATTTATTAAGAGAGATTGGAGACACCCAAACACCTCCCCCCCCCTTTCCCCCCAACCCAGGAATGTGCCAAGACTTACAAATGAGTCTCCACATGTACCGGTATGTGTAATGATTGACAGCTTACAATTGGAATTACCGTGAAACGGCAGGGCAACTTCACGATGACGAGAAACCCTGACCGAACCGAGCGCCGATTGTCGAAATGTTGGCGCTTTCTCTCCAATGTTTGTCAGTTGCTGAGAGATGAGGGCTGAGGTTTGGCTGGGGGGTCGACGGTCGAGGTATTCTACGCCGACAGATTTTGGGAAGACAAAATGGCTATTATTGTTTGTTGACTCGGACGTTGCACATTTTAATGTCATGGCTTGCTATTTTGTTGTCGTCGGGTGAGACCCATCCCCTTACATCCCCCCCTCTCTCCCCCTCCCTTTTTGAAAAAAGGGGGGGGGTTCTTTACCCATGATTAGTTGATGATTGAACCAATGGGTTGATTTCATGAAGTAAGGTTGAATCTTATAGTTGACAGAGAGCGGTTACTGTACTCTGATTCATTTATTTGAATAAAAATGTTATACTTACAGGCGAGACAGCTTTGAGAAATGAAAGCGCATCATATCAACCTATGTCATTAGACAGCTTTAAGAAATGATAATGTTGCATAAAAAAAGTTGGATGGGACGAAATCCATCCCGTGCAGACAGATTAAGTTTCTGGCCCTTTACTATGGCCACATGTAGTCAATGTTCCTTAATCCATAAGACCCAAAAGATGGTTTCGACTGCAAAATTACATTTTTTTTTCGGACCGAAAAAAGACTACATCGCATTTTGTTGCGACTTCTATATGATATTTGTTGGGCCCGCTATATGACAATAAGTTGGAACCGCTGTATGACATTTAGTTGGGAACTGCTATGATTTAATTTTTTTGGTAGGTGTGGGGCGACTACTATAAGAAATTTTTGGGACTGCTAGGACATTTCTGTAAATACTATATGACATTTTTGGGGTTTGCTATGACATTTTTGTAAATACTACATGACATTTTTGGGGTTTGCTATGACATTTTTGTAAATACTACATGATATTTTTGGGACTGCTATGACATTTTTGTAAATACTACATGACATTTTTGTAAATACTACATGATATTTTTGGGACTGCTATGACATTTTTGTAAATACTACATGACATTTTTGTAAATACTACATGATATTTTTGGGACTGCTATGACATTTTTGTAAATACTACATGATATTTTTGGGACTGCTATGACATTTTTGTAAATACTACATGATATTTTTGGGACTGCTAGGACATTTTTTGGGACTGCTATGACATTTTTGTAAATACTAAATGACATTTTGAGACTGCTAAATGAACTTTTTGGGACTTCTATTTTACTTTTTTGGAACTGCTATATGAAATTTTGCTGGTACTGCTATATGACATTTTTGTATGTACTGCTGTATGACATTTTGTATGTACTGCTCCGTGATATTTTGTAGGTACTGCTCCGTGAAATTTTGTTGGTACTGCTCCGTGACATTTTGTAGGTACTGCTCCGTGACATTTTGTAAGTACTGCTCCGTGACATTTTGTTGGTACTGCTGCTTGACATTTTGTTGGTACTGCTCCGTGACATTTTGTAGGTACTGCTCTGTGACATTTTGTTGGTACTGCTCTGTGACTTATTGTTGGGACTGCTCCGTGCGATATTTTGGTACCGCTTTTTAAAATGTTGTTGCACATCTTGTCAGGCGAATACCGTGCATGAATTGTGGGACATGTCAAGGACGAAGATGGTTCCACTTGTTGCAGTATTTGAACTGTTGAGTGTTACAAGTTTAGATCAGATGACAATGTACGACTGAATTTGTTGTTTTTTTAAATTCTGGTCCTTTATCGTCCGGCTTAGGCCCTTCATCGCACTGCCTAGGCCCTTCATCGCCCGGCTTAGGCCCTTCATTGCCCGGCTTAGGCCCTTCATTGCCCGGCTTAGGCCCTTCATCGCCCGGCTTAGGCCCTTCATCGCCAGCCTAGGCCCTTCTTCGCCAGCCTAGGCCCTTCATCGCACTGCTTAGGCCCTTCATCGCCCGGCTTAGGCCCTTCATCGCCCGGCTTAGGCCCTTCATCGCTCGGCTTAAGCCCTTCATCGCCCGTCTTAGGCCCTTCATCGTCCGTCTTAGGCCCTTCATCGCCCGTCTTAGGCCCTTCATCGCCCGGCCTAGGCCCTTCATCGCCCGGCCTAGGCCCTTCATCGCCCGACTTAGGCCCTTCATCGCCCGGCCTAGGCCCTTCATCGCCCGGCCTAGGCCCTTCATCGCCCGTCTTAGGCCCTTCACCTCCCGGCTTGGGCCCTTCATCGCCCGGCTTAGGCCCTTCATCGCCCGGCTTAGGCCGTTCATCCCACAGCTTAGGCCTGCGCCCTGCCGTACGTCAGTTTTGAAGCTCTTGTCAACTCTGAGATTCCCGATTTTCCTCGAGACAAATCCTCGCAAAGAAAGCCAGGAAAGGCCCAGGGACCCTGTTGACTCTAAGGTGAAGCCTGGCAAACACGGCCCGGAGGGAAGCAAATACGTTGGTCGTTTGTTCAGAAAGGAGAAACCAAACACGAACCAACGACGGTAGTGACCTCCTCGTCCCAAGTGGACATGCTCCCTGTCAACAGCGTCATCGCCAACGCGGTGGAGGCCTGGCGGAAATGAACTATTAGATTCACACAGGTCCATACGTGACTTGATCTGACCTAAAAAAACAACAAAAAAACAACAAACAATGATTGTGAACTCTGATTGTTGCGTGGTCTAAAACAGAGTTAGTCTTCCGTTGCTGATTAAAGTTACTTTGAACGTCAGCAATGAATCTGTTAATTATGGCCAAGAAAAAAAATGACCCGAATTACACCTGGGGTAATAAGATTTCTTAAAGAAATCTGGATCTATAATTGTCGTTAGGCAAGTACTGTCCTACACAATGTCTCGAAACCCACAAGGCTAAAACATGGGCAGGTGATCCATGGCAGACTAAAACATAGGCAGGTGAGGCGATCCATGGCAGGCTGTTCGTTCTTCAACTCCAAATGTATGCGACTACACTATCGGTGTAAGGGATTTCTGAGGAAGTGTGGGGGCTGTAAGGTCGGTGGCAAGCAGAAACCACACCCGGGACCAAGTCTGGATTTAGGTGACCTCTTCCCAAACATTATACACATTCATACACGTGACCATTGGGCGCCCTTTGAAGACGCACCCAGAGAGGCCCCCACTTTGCCCCCCCCCCCTTTTTTTTTTCACCTGGCTCTCAGCGCTACCACCACCCCCACTCTCCCTCCTCCTCCTCCCGGCTTTGTCTTAAGATGACGTGTCTGAACATGTGACTCCAAGCCGAGTGCATAAAATAACGTTGGGATACATGCACCAAATAATAGTTGACAAGGTTACGGAATGTTTATAAAAGATAAGTTCGTAATATTTTCTTTCTAGGCTAATTTTTTTTTTTAATTTTGTAAGTTTAATTTGCTTTGTACATTTCTCAAAAATCTAAACTTGATTCGGATGAGTTAGAGCTCGGTGTTCAGGGAAGACAAGGAGTCTTCAAGTAAAGTCAAGGTTATAGGTCAGGTGTGAGATAGGGATGCGAGTAAAGGGAATTTTTTTTTGTTTTTGTTTTTTGGGAGGGTGGGGGTAGAGAGAGGGGGCGGACATGGCTGGCAAAAACAAAAGTAGGGAGGGGAGGGGGTTAGGTGTGTATCGAGGGAATGTTTTAATCAATTTTCTTCAAATAACTTTTGTTTTTTGTGACCAAAATATGAAGGATATTTATGTGCACACATGTTCAAACTCTATATTTTCCCAGAATGAATTGTTCCAGTTGGTCACTGACCAGGGATTCCTCACAGAGAGCAATGTCGTCTGGGAGACCCTGTCTACAGTGGATGGGGACTGCCACTTTACAGACGCGACCTTCAGGACCTACACCAAGCCTCCAGCTTCCATAGATCCCATCCCAGATCCCAGTGTTGCTGTGGGAAGTCCCGAACAGATAGATCACGAGTAAGTCACCTGGTGTACATAGCTTATACTGGTTTGCCTGCAAAGCTGTTTGAACTGACAGCATACATTAATTGAACAAGTACCAATACCACACTGATAGCAGTAATAAGAGCGTAGGCAAGTGTTCCAAAGCTGTTTGAACTGACAGCATACATTAATTGAACAAGTACCAATACCACACTGATAGCAGTAATAAGAGCGTAGGCAAGTGTTCCAAAGCTGTTTGAACTGACAGCATACATTAATTGAACAAGTACCAATACCACACTGATAGCAGTAATAAGAGCGTAGGCAAGTGTTCCAAAGCTGTTTGAACTGACAGCATACATTAATTGAACAAATACCAATACCACACTGATAGCAGTAATAAGAGCGTAGGCAAGTGTTCCAAAGCTGTTTGAACTGACAGCATACATCAATTGAACAAGTACCAATACCACACTGATAGCAGTAATAAGAGCGGAGGCAAGTGTTCCAAAGCTCTTTGAACTGACAGCATACATCAATTGAACAAGTACCAATACCACACTGATAGCAGTAATAAGAGCGGAGGCAAGTGTTTAAAAAGCTGAATTCATTTTTTTTTAATTTTTTTTTTTTATGAGACTCTTATTACTGCTATTTGGGTGTGAGACTTATTACTGTTATTTGGGTGTGAGAATCTTATTACTGTTATTTGGGTGTGAGACTCTTATTACTGTTATTTGGGTGTGATACACTTATTACTGTTATTTGGGCGTGAGACTCTTATTACTGTCATTTGGCTGGGTTTTTAACATCTCTAAGTTAGTCTCCTAAGTAGTATATATGCTAGTCTCCAGACTAGTATCTATGTTAGTATCTAGGGTAGTCTCTAAAATAGTATCTAGGCTACTATCTAGATTAGTATCTAGGCTAGTATCCTAACTAGTATCTAGGCTAGTATCTAGGTTAGTCTCTAGACTAGTATCTAGATTAGTATCTAGACTAGTATCTAGGCTAGTGTCGAGGCTAGTATCTAGACTAGTATCTAGACTAGTATCTAGGCTAGTTTCTAGACTGGTAACTGGTTTTGTCATAGTCCATATATACCCTATGTGAAACCCCCCCCCCCCCCCCCACTGTCTTTCTCTGGGTTTTGAGGTTTATTGTCCTTCTCTTCTCCAAGTTACCAAGTGGCATTATTCCTGCAAGAAGAAGCCAGCTCGGCACTGAACCCCACTTGGGCAAGTGGATTCCAACAGGAACCAACAGCCCCTTACACTCAGACAGAGTGAGTTGAATAATGCTTTGGCGATGTCTCTGGGGTTCAGACATTAATCTTGGGGATCGTGGAGGGAGGGGCTCAACATAAGGTAGTGGGGGTGTCAACATAAGGTGGTGGGGGTGTCAACATAAGGCTGTGGGGTTGTCAACATAAGGTTGTGGGGTTGTCAACATAAGGTGGTGGGGTTGTTAACATAAGGTGGTGGGGTGCCAACATAAGGTGGTGGGGGTGTCAACATAAGGAAGTGGGGGTGTCAACATAAGGTGGTGGGGTTGTCAACATAAGGTGGTGGGGTTGTCAACATAAGGTGGTGGGGTGTCAACATAATGTGGTGGGTGTGTCAACATAAGGTGGTGGGTGTGTCAACATAAGGTTGTGGGGGTGTCAACATAAGGTGGTGGGGTTGTCAACATAAGGTGGCGTGTGTGTCAACATAAGGTTGTGGGGGTGTCAACATAAGGTGGTGGGGGTGTCAACATAAGGTAGTGGGGGTGTCAACATAGGGTGTTGGATGTGCCATGATTAAATGTGTGGTGTTGATGTACCACATGCTTGAAATAATGTATCCGGCTCAGATGTATTTCGTGAGAATATTTGCTCCTTGATGGGTCCTGAATCAATGTTCCGCTCCCCCTCCCCCTTGCCAAGTTATGGTTTGAATCTCAGAAGCCAAAATTATTGTTGTTAAATAGAGCTGTGATTTTACAGCTAAACTTACAAAGTAAATGACTAATAGTTATAATGAAATTTTGAAGCCAAGATGAATCAATCAAAATGTCACAAAAAGTAGTCTTTAGAAAAATACTAATAAATAACTTAACTTTATAGGAAATAAAGTAACGATGAAAGTTATAAAATCTTTATATGAAAGAAATACAATAGCAGTAAAAGAAATTCTGTGATAATGTTCTATTTAGACAAGAACTTGCAAAATAATGGGGATCATGTTGGAACGATTGCTTTGCTATATACTTAAGTAGTTTTATTGAAAATGTTCTAAAGACAACGATATGATAGGATGACTGGCATTAAGTTTGTCTCATCCAGAAATAGAACAACTTTTTACAACCTGATTTCTTAAGGCTCACATGGCCTCATCTTTTACTGCCCTCACCTGTTACTATCCTTATTTAATACTACCCACATCCATTTCTGCCCACTTCCCTGACTGCCCACATCTCTTACTGCACACATCTTTAACTGCCCACATTTCTTACTGCCCACATCTTTCACTGCCCACATCTTTAACTGCCCAAATCTCTTAATGCCAATATCTTTAACTGCCCACATCTCTTAGTGCCCACATCTTTAACTGCCCACTTCTCTTAATACCCAAATATCTTAATGCCCACATCTTTAACTTCCCAATTCTCTTACTGCTCATATCACTCATTACCAACATCTCTTACTGCCCACATTTTTAACTGACCACATCTCATACTGCCTACATCTGAATACCCTCATCATCTTCTGCCCTCATCCTTCTATTCTGGTATACTTGTCATCACTTGTGTTTTGTCTGTTCACATCTAGTCATGACCTGGCCATGCGACTGCAAGAAGAAGAGGACAGACGAGAACGAGCAGAACAACAGCAGCGGCCACAACAAGCATCTGCTCCACAGCCAAGTCATGGTCGTGTTCCACCAGTGGACCCCCAACGAAGGAGGACAGACAGGGGAGGTGACAGACGAGATAAAGATGAAAAGAATGTGAGTTTGATATTTGTGTCGAAATAAAATTCCCTGACCAAAGTCGGGAGCTGGCGTTCAATCCTTGGTGGGATTAAAAACAGGCAGTCAGGTCCCTCCCACCATGCACAAAAATGAGTGGCAATCCGCTGTCGAGATGTAGGTCTTAATGTCTTGTGTTCATCTAACCTTTGATGTCAGGTGCTTACTTGTTGGACATTATAGTCTCTCCCTTCATCACACAGACTAGTGCAGCTGATACCAATATCATGTTGCACACTACAAGTTTATTAATAATCATCACAACATGACAGGGTCATGTATACCGAACTAATGATCCAGTTCGTTAAACAAATCAAGGTACTTCCTTAAAGATACATCCAGCCGAAATCCTCATTACACAAAACAAGCTACACCATTCATATCCTACAACGGCTATCGAGCAACCATCACATCAACCAAACTAACGTGAGCCACCATCAAAACAAACAAACTAACGTGAGCCACCATCACAACAACCAAACTAACGTGAGCCACCATCACAACAACCAAACTAACGCGAGCCACCATCACAACAACCAAACATACGCGAGCCACCATCACAACAACCAAACTAACGTGTCATTTCCCCTTACCCAAATACATCACAAATATTTCACACAATAGACACAGCTACACAATATAATGTCTATACTAAACATCTTTTCCATACCTGAAATAACAACAATGATTCTCATATCCTTGACACTTCCATGAAATAATCATCTTCCAACATAGCCCAGTTTTGGCCTCTTTTAGCCAAGGCCCGCCTAACCTACTTTTTATGGTCAATTTTTCATTTGCAAATTGGGCATAACTCTATGTAGTGCATTATATACCCATGTACCAGTATTATTTCCTAGTCTGTCTCAGATAAATAGCTTTCCTTGTGAGATCAGCTGCTTAAAAATAACATGATCTTTCCTGGTGTTGATAGTCTTGCAAACTTTGCATCAGCTTGGAATGCAATGCAGGACTTTCTTTTTGAAACTCTTTTAAAAAAAAATAATAATTAAAACACATTAAAAAGATCAAAGATTTGCATTTCTACAAAATGTGGTATTATGTTCTCATGTATCAGTGGAGTAGCTCGAGTTTTTGACACCCTGGGTGCTCTTTGATTTTGCCAAAGCAATAACCACGATTCTTACAGAATAAAGATAAGATGTAAGCTATGCAATGGGGCCAGAAATGAAGCCCCAAAATAATTGCCACCTAGTTACCCCCCCTCCACACCCATACCCAAATGCTAGGCCAATGGGACAAATAGCAGTAAACTCAAGCAGCGTGTTGTATGGGAGTTTGGTTGCTAGCTGCCCTAAATGAGCATACTACAGTGTGGGGTAGTAAATCTTTGTGACTTGTAAAAAAAACTGTTCAAGGAGCAACAATAACTGCTGGTTGGCAGAAATGACAAGGAAACCCTTTGGTCTCTCTAGTGATGGCAGCATTGACATGGAAAACCTTTGGTCTCTCTAGTGATGACAAGGAAAACCTTTGGTCTCTCTAGTGATGACAAAGAAACACTTTCGTCTCTCTAGTGATGGCAGCATTGACATGGAAAACCTTTGGTCTCTCTAGTGATGACAAGGAAAACCTTTGGTCTCTCTAGTGATGACAAGGAAAACCTTTGGTCTCTCTAGTGATGACAAGAAAACCCTTTGGTTTCTCTGGTGATGACAAGGAAACCCTTTGGTTTCTCCAGTGATGACAAGGAAAACTTTTGGTCTCTCTAGTGATGACAAGGAAAACCTTTGGTCTCTCTAGTGATGACAAGGAAACCCTTTGTTTTCTCTACTGATAGCAGCATTGACAAGGAAACCCTTTGGTCTCTCTACTGATGACATCATTGACAATAAAACCCATCAGTCTCTACTGATGACAGCATTGATGATAAAACCCTTCAGTCTCTACTGATGAAACAGGTGAAAAGAAATGAAAATGGTTTCAACTTTTGATTTGTTCCTATGGATCTGCCGATGGCAATATTGGTTCAGAGTTGTACTCTATACCTTCTCAGAGTTCTTCTCTATACCTTCTCAGAGTTGTTCTCTATACCTTCTCAGAGTTCTTCTATATACCTTCTCAGAGTTGTTCTCTATACCTTCTCATTTATTTCAAATTAATTCACAAAGGACCGGGACAATGTATTGGTATGCAGTGAATTTTAATAGCTTGACCCTGCTATGTTTCAGTTTTGGATTCATTTGTAATGCATTTAATAATGTATTGTATGGTCCATTATCTCTACTAGTCTACACAAACACAAGCACACGCCACTTCCATCCCATTCCTGGTTTTGCCGCCGCCGTAGGTTGCTCTATCTAACAGTGCAAAATAAGAATGCTTCAAACTAAAATACTATTTCTTTACATAAAATAGGATTTGAGTGGGGTTTAGTACTAAATTCAATTTGCCTGGGTGGGCAGATCTGGACTTGTAAAAGAATCTTTCATTTTCCATTTTTATCTATATATGCTTTCACTGTTTCCACAGTGCTTGATACTTTGACACTCTCCCCACCCACAAGCCCTTAGCCCCGCCAGTGTGATGACTGGTGAACACTGAGCTGTGCTACTCGACATTGTGATCAAGACCTTGTGATAAGTTTCTTCTGTGAGCAGTTCAAGACGGGAGAACATGATAACAGCATTTGGTTGTGCTGTCTTGGACGATATGGTCATCAGCAGTTGGTCATGCTGTCTTGGACAACATGGTCATCAGCAGTTGGTCGTGCTGTCTTGGATGATATGGTCATCAGCAGTTGGTCGTGCTGTCTTGGACAATATGGTCATCATAAGTTGGTCGTGCTGTCTTGGATGATATGGTCATCAGCAGTTGGTCATGCTGTCTTGGACAATTTGGTCATCATCAGTTGGTCGCGCTGTTTGGACAAGAATGTCGTCGACAGGTGGTCATGCTGTTTTGGAAAAGATTGTCATCAACAGTTGGTCATGCTGTTGGAACCAGGTGGTCATCGACAGGTGGTCATGCTGTCTTGGACAGGATTATACAGCTTGAAGGAGTAACTTTACACCAGAATATTTATTATTATAATCCACATGTTGTTTTCACAGGACCTTATAGAGTGTATAGTTAATTGTCTATTGGTGTGCTTATGTCTAGATAAAAACACAAACAGAAAGGTCTTTGGGTATAATCAAATTAATCTTTTCAACCTAGAACATTTTAAAATATACTTCTTTTTCCCATCTACTAACTCAAATGTCTAATATTTCACTCTTTTTTTTTATCAATGTCTGTAGCAAAATGTTCTTAAGTTCCATATTGATATGATCAAATGAAGTTGAAATTAACCAAATGATGTGGACTGTTTCATCAGATTTTTCACATTGAACATTTTAAGCTCACAGACTTTTTTGAACATTTTAAGCTCACAGACTTATTTGAATATTTTAAGCTCACAGACTTTTTTGAACATTTTAAGCTCACAGACTTTTTTGAACATTTTAAGCTCACAGACTTTTCTTGGTATTCCTTATAGTTAACACAAAAACAAACATTTGACGGCTTTAAATACCTGAATACCAGGCATAGTGGATGCTCTTTGAGTGGAGCACTGCTCATAGCGGATGCTCTTTGAGAGGAGCACTGCTCATAGTGGATGCTCATGGTGGATGATCTTTGACTGGAGCACTGCTCATATTGGATGCTCTTTGAATGGAGCGCTGCTGACTGTGATGGCAACCTATGGGAGTAAAAGTGGTTACTTAAATATTCAGTGTATTTTACAAAAGCCTATGTGATTTGCGCATTAAAAAATGTTGACAAGATTTTCCAGTGATATGTGATACTTGAAGACCTTGGATATTCATCATTGAATCTGTAAGCGTGCTCAAAGTTTTTCTAAACTGATCTAAGCTTATTTCATGAAAAAAAAAAAAGGTTAGTTGTATAAAATTAAGTCACCTTTTAAAGCTAGCTAAATGAAAGTTGTTTTTTTTTTTAATGAATACTTTCTACAAATTCTTCTCTCTAATACAGCTGCTTGAATTTTTCATCCTTTTTTAAATTTTGCCCTGTTGAATGCTGGGGTGAATCAACATGTTTCTTTGAGAGGTCTAGTTAAAATGTTTCATGTAGATCTGTTTGGGTGTGAGGGTATATTTGAGAGGTCTAGTTAAAATGTTTCATGTAGATCTGTTTGGGTGTAAGAGTATATTTGAATTTGCTCACCTTCCAACATGAGACCAATTCCTATGTACAGATGAATTTTCTTGTTCCAGTTACAACTACCTGAAACTCACAAGCCATTACGTGTACTATGCCAAAAGGCACACAGCATGTGTGTAGATTATGTAGGATTGAATGAAATCTTTGAACTTTTGCTGGAGGGATTGACATTTTTGTTGTTGTCATGAATGAGTCAAAACAATCAATTTTTTTTGTTGTTGTCATGAATGAGTCAAAACAATCAATTTTTTTTGTTGTCATGAATGAGTCAAAACAATCAATTTTTTTTGTTGTGTCATGAATGAGTCAAAACAATCAATTTTTTTTTTTTGTTGTCATGAATGAGTCAAAACAATCAATTTTTTTTTATTTTAAAGTTGAAATTTTTTAACAAGCATTTTTATTTTTAAGCGCCCAAATTTAATTGGTTCAATTGTTTTAAAAAGTGTACTCTTTGTTCATTCATAGTAAATGCAAGCAATACAACTGATGAGGAATGAGCCGCCTTTGACAATAGATATTTAAATAAAACTTGAGATACCTATTTTCATTCACAGTGTCTGCAGATGAGACGATAGCTGCAATATGTAAATTACAAAATGGACTTTATTTGAATTTGTTTAAGACTACTTTTTATTGAAACTTGTGGGGACCAGATTTTGTCAGTGCTTTGAAAACCCCAAAAATGGATTTAAAGTAGTTAGGAAATTTTTTTTTTTTTTTTTTTTTATTAAAA